AACCCCTTGGCAAGTGGCCTGCTTTGATTCGTACATGTATATTGACTTGGAGTTACAGATCTGCACTTTTCACCCATTCATGATGTCCAGCCTTGTCAGACACTGAGAGTCGCTGTTGTGCAGACTCATGGAAATCCACTAAGTAGCACTAGCCCCCAGGCCTTCGGTCTCTCCTAACTAAAATACAATCTGTAAAATTGCTCATCACAGGCCACATACGATTTACCAAATACGTCGTAATGCTTTGGAGCTATTCCAGTTCGTTCTAGACCAGTGTCCGGTTAATCATCACCACGCTGCGCTCACTGGTGTCGCGTAGGCCGCCTTCAAGGGTACATTCGCAAGGACCTTCGAGACATCAACTCTACTATATCTCTATTCCGCGACGCCCTTGCATTATGCCCACAGTGTCACCTCGATCACCCCTTTTATGTCTATCATCTCACCGAAGGACTGACTAGGCTCCCAACTACTGCTGCCAGCATCGGCGAAACCACCTAACTCTACTATGAGCTGCTACCTCTCTGCCCCAAGGACACATCTTCGGAGCATCGCAATAGGGGATAATTGCGTCGGATGCTGCAGTATGTTTCCATATCAAGTACAGATGAAACCCTAGTTCCAGTTTTCGAAGTTGCTATTTCATTTTCAAGGTCCGAAGGGTTTGCTACGGTGGCTGAAGAATGTTTACCGATGTTTCCTGCCACCCGTTGTGGAGAGAGAACGAGGAATAAGGCCAGGTTTGGGCTACATATGGACAGTTCAATGTGCATGTGATCTTATTGTTTTCTTTTCTCGCACTGATGGCAGCCCTCTTCTCTCGATACTGCGGTTGGAAGGAACCTGGTTCTTATAGCCGTAGGACGCTACAGGACGTTAGATGCCCAGAAGTTCGTGGTATCTCGATTCAAACAGCGCTGTCCTATTGTATCTTTGACGATTGGCCCGGTGTTTCTGCAAACTGTTGTCTCATGAATATGGCTGAGTCCAAACTCCGCTGCATTCATAGCCTTAGATCAGGATCGCTAGATAGACCACTTCAATTGTAGACACAAGTGTCGCCTTCGATCGTTAATGGGCTATTCCGCCTTGAACGTCAGTCTTGCGCTACCACTTAGCTTACGTAATTATCGGTATCTAACGTACGCATCCCTCACTGAGCGTTGTTCCAACATCCGCTGAGACTCGTTTCTCTAGTCTGCAATTGACTTCTTCGTGTCAATCTTCTATGGCGATTGCCTCACGTGGATTTATGTTCTTTCTGACTGACGCTCGCTAACTATCGCGAAGTAATTAAACCCTTGGATGACGCCACTTGACCGTGCACGCTGCAGATAGACACGTACGCGACTAAATCACGTGATTGGTGATTTCTCTCAATTCCATCGCGAGTCATCTAGGCTAACTTCAAAACCGTGGCGTTCCTAATCAGATTCATCAGTCCCACCACTATCTCCCCCAGGAGGTCCTACATCAGACCTCTTGCAACCATGATTTCATCCTTACCTTCTGTCCTAGGCACGGACCCATCGTCCTGCATTCTAGATGCGTTCCGCATCGCTATTGCAAAACGTGTATCGGATGCGCTGCCGCCGCTCACCCTCGAGAGTGCCTATAACGGTGTCGATTATGGAAAGAAAGGGGTCGATTTCACGGTTGCTCTTCCCCGGTTTAGGCTGCCGGGAAAGCCTAACGACCTGGCACAAAGAGTTATAACCGATGTAAGTTAATCAATCTTTTAACTGCTCGATGCTAGCGCAGCTTCTAATATTATTTACTGCCAGTTCCAACCTGATTATTTCGTCTCGTCAATAACCCACGATAAACAATTCCTGCACTTCAAACTCAATACCGCCTCCCTCATCCGCGAAATCCTTCAACAAATACATACTCTAACCTACGATAGCCCTACAGGCAAGCCGTCGTACGGTACGAATACCTCCGGCGCCGGCAAGACCCTGGTTATAGAATATTCGTCCCCTAATATCGCCAAGTCATTCCACGTTGGACATCTTCGAAGCACGATCATAGGCGCATTTTTAGATAACTTATATAAAGCATGCGGATGGGAGGTCATCTCTCTCAATTACCTGGGCGACTGGGGCACTCAAGTGAGCAAATATTCGTATTTTCTTGTTTCTGAGAGTTAATATGATTTCACTAGTTCGGTATGATCACCACCGGATTCGAAAAGTACGGTTCGCAAGAGGAGCTTGAAAAAGATGCGATCAAGCACCTCTACGACGTCTACGTTAAAGTTTCCAAAGATGCCGATTCGGATCCCAACGTTAAAGTCGAAGCTGCCCAATGGTTCAAGCGGATGGAGGATGGCGACGAGTCGGCACTTGCGAACTGGCGAGTATGGCGGGAAATGAGTGTCAAAAAGTACACGGAGGAATACGAACGATTAAACGTGTCATTCAAAGTCTACACGGGAGAGAGCGAGGTAGGTAAGGAGTGGCAGGATCGGGCTCTCGAACGCCTCGAGGAAATGGGTCTCATCAGTGATGCTGACGGTGCCAAACTCGTCGATCTTGAAAAATGGAAACTCGGAAAGGCCGTGCTCCGCAAAGCTAGTAAGTCTACAAAAACCAACTACCTCTTACACATTCCTGATCTTCGCGCGTAGATGGCACCTCGATATATCTCACCCGTGACCTTGGCGGTGCGATAGAGCGATGGGAGAAATACCACTTCGACAAGATGATATATGTCGTCGCATCGCAGCAGGACCTCCACCTCTCGCAATTTTTCAAGATGCTAGCGTTGATGGAGTTCCCGTGGGCAGACCGCCTCGAGCACGTTAACTACGGCTTGGTGCTCGGCATGAGCACTCGGAAGGGAACCGCAGTCTTTTTGGATCAAATCATCCGCGAAGCCTCGTCAGTCATGCACGAGCAAATGAAGCGAAATGAAGCGAAATACAACAACATCGAAGACCCTGAGACGGTCGCTCGAGAAGTAGGCATCACGGGAATTAAGATCCAGGATATGGCTGCCAAACGGTGAGTGACATTGTTTCATTCGAATACTGTAGCTCATCCAATACAGGATCAATAACTACACTTTTAACTGGGACCGTATGCTTTCCTTCGAGGGCGATACCGGGCCATATCTGCAATACGCGCACGTCCGGCTCACCTCCATGGAGAGAAAAAACCCAGAGCTCATCCCCCTGCCGCCTCCATCCCAGATCGACACTTCCTCTCTCGCTTCGTCCCAACACGCACGCGACATCGCCATTCTTTTGGGGTCCTACCCCGACGTCGTGAAGACTGCATTGAAGACACACGAGCCTAGCGGCGTAGTGACTTTCGCTTTCCGCCTTGCTCACGCGATTTCAAGCGCCTGGGAGACGCTCATCGTCAAAGGAGAACAAGATACCGAGAAAGCTCGCGCGAGGCTGTGGCTCTACCTTTGCGCGAGGGATGTGTTAGGTGCTGCGATGCGGCTTCTGAGCATTAGGCCTTTGGAGAGGATGTAGCAAGTGTTTCTTTGCGTCCTCAGTTAAATTGATTGATACAGAATACTTGATTGTGATTATACAAAGAGGGTTGGGCACACTGACTTCGACAGAAAATTCATGTTTGTACTTATGTAATGCCCTGCACAAGGCTGACGTTCAAGGTGAAGTAGCCCATTAACGATCGGGGGCGACAATCGTGTCTAGTGATCCTGAAGAACAAACTTAAGATAGGTCTATACGGTATACGGACTTGATCATGAAATCCCGAAGACGAATCGAAAGGCTCATAGCCTGGTCGGTTTCTTTGTCGTCTCGGGGCATCCAGGTCCAGACTCGAAAGACTGGTTCGTCTACGATAACGAGGCTAGTGTGACCCGAAAGAACGACTCGGAGTAAGTAGTACATTGTAAGTACCAGCAACTGTGCAATGAAGTCGCTTCTAATTAATGAACTGGGAGATAGTCGTATATACTACTATGTACGATAGATTATATGAAATGGTAAGTGAATGATACTTTACAGTCCAGCCCTCTTGAGCTCAGTGAGAATAGAGTACTAAGGCCTAGGAGGACTCGATGATCAACTGCAGCGAGTACTTGAAACTTCTACGAGTGAGCCCGTCCGCTCGATAAGGTGCTGATGCTCCCCTAAGATGTCAGTCCCATCGCATGGTAAGGACGTTGTGACACGTAGCCACCCCTATCACCCGTGCGCTGCTCACTTCCGCTCTTGCTGTTTTCCTGGGCCGGTCAATTACAGCAGTAACGTTCCGATTTTTGATGCGTGTACTGATCTCCGTCGCATGCGGCGAACAAGGCTCTGCAGGGGCTCTTACAAACGTGCGCCACAATCACATTGGCGGTCCCAACCATAATCATAGATAGCTGATGTTAATGCAACCATTTGTCACTTGTGCACTGGTCACCTCCGATCCCTCCGCCTGCCTAGACTCGTTGCATTTATAGGCTACAGGAACGTTCCGGTGCTTGAAGTGCGCTATGTACCGCTAATGCCCATCATATAGGACAGAACAAAGCACTGCCAGAGTACAAGCGATGTGCGCGCCAAAGAAAAAACCTATTTCCGAACAAGGTTGGTATGTTTCATGGGCGCATTGTACTGGTTCTAATATTGTCATACGTACTTCATGTGCAGTCCAGGATAGTGTCTGAAACATCTATAGACATTAAGCCACCTTCTCAGGTATTGCAACGGAGTCGGATGTCCCGACAGAGACCAGTGGAGGGATATCACCCGCAAAAATTTTGATGCTGTCACCAAAGGGAGTCTCATGATTAGGGAGGTATGTGGAGAGTGTATTTTTTGAAGACCGTCCATCCTCGTCTCCTTTAGCATCACTACCGAGAAATGACTCGAGAAGTGCTCTGTGAAAATTTCTGTGGTGCCCGTCGACGCGCCTGTTGCGCTGGTGGTACTTGGCGTTCAGAAGGGCAGAAGAACGTACAGGGTGGCTTGAGATCTGAGCGTTCCAGGACTTGAGTACACGAAGAAGAAGCAACGGATCGAAGGTAGAGACCAATAATCTCCCCGCAGCAGACTGGATGATCGTTCGAAACCAGCAGCATGACAACCTGAAGCTAGTCTTGCATGGTGCATAAGGGACATTCAAATACTCGAGCAATGGATGTCGCTGTAAAAGATTCTGAGAGCAAGTGGTAGCACGAGAGAGGATGCGATGCAAAGCTTCAGTTTCAAGTAACTAGACTGAGATGTTCAAAAGCAATACGAAATGGAGCCACACGCTGACATGAATGAAAATGATTCTCTGCTCGAGCGGTACTTGCTTCTTCACGGCAGCCGTAGCATGGTTTAGAGCTAAGGCCGCCTCCGTACAGTTCATGATGCCCTCCTTCAAATCCTTGAACATATCCTCGTAGAAAGCTTTGACGACGAGGTTTGCGACAGCGCCGCCGACCGCCCACAGCGTGCCAAGACGCTCTTAACCCTGAAAACTGTAGACCAGCTGCAGAGTGAATGACTTCGTTGCGCGTCTCCTTATCACCAGCGACAGTATGACACGCCGATAAGAATGCGAACTCTGCTTGCGGAGCATTGTTCTCCATGATGTCAAGCAGTGTAAGGGATCTGTCTCACGGTGAAACGTAAATCGTAAGACTGGTCATGGTCCTGTTTGCCATGACAAGCGAGATGTACCCAGATGTCGCATCGCAAAGTTTTGAGTGCACCTGCCTGTGTGGCTTCATCGCCAGAAAGATTAGTAAACTTGACATCGGAGGGAGTGTGTTTATGGACAAGCTCAAGCTCGCTGTCGGCAGTGGCGAACACCGTACCCTGTCAGAACCTGCCCTGCCCCCGGTTGACTTTGTCCGATGGCTATGAAAGTTGGAGCCACGCGCATCTTCATCAACTGTCTAGCTCTCATTGGAGCTGAAAGTGCCGGCGTGTAAGAGCAGATGTAGTTATACTCCAGACAAACCTCCGGCCCAGAGCAATCTGCCTTCACCCAAAAAGGGTGAGTTGCATGAAGAAGGATACTAGTGAAGGCTGCCGTCGGGCACAATCATATTCGAGACTGGTGCCGCAATTTCAGGTCACGCTGGAGGATGTTAACAATGGGTAACATAATCTCTTTCCATACGTACTCGCAAATTCTTCCACGGCTCCTCTGGGCGAATACCAGCCGCGTGGCATGTCGCCCTAACGAAGTCATCTTTAAGCTTCTCCAGATCTGCAAGAGCGAGCCTTGGGAAGGCAGCGTGGTGGAACTCCCCTGATGTCAGGATAATGATGGCGCCGCACGAGTATTTACTCGCAATGAGGATGATAACTGGGCCCTAGGATGTTGTCGCCTGCAGTTCCTTGTACAGAAAGGAGAGCAGGAATCGCGAGAAACCCCAAAGGTTACGGATTTCAGTTACAACAGCATTCCACTACTCCATAAGTGCTTTGTGCTCTCTCTCTGCCGGATCCGGTGTAGTTCAATCTGTATTGCCTGTGGAACCTTGAACATCGGACAAGCGCCTGCTGAGCGCCGAGAAGATATGAGCTATGCTGTGATTCGTGGAGTCGGGGTCCTCAAGCGGAGTCCTGAGTCACAAGGTCAATGATCACTGTTGGCCACGGCCCTATTCCACGAGTTCGACGGCCTTTGGTAGATTTTTACGGCGCACAGCACACGGTGCTGCATCTGCAGGTGGCGATCTGGCGTGATAGAAGGCAGCGGCGCCTTCGCACTGAGATATAGTGTTTGATCGTGTTGCCAAATGGCCGTCAAGAAGCTCGAAAAACATTGCATAGGGCTATAGCCGAGATATCTTCCTGGATGCGGTGAAAGTAAAGCCTCCGATGATTGTTGGCAAAGACGAATGGCCTCATTAATATCTTCCTGCATCCGAGTTTGTGTGAAACGAGAGTAGAGCGCCAAGCTCAAATTGCGCGTCCTACGATGCTCTGGCTTCGGTAACGGAGGGCATTTGCAGAATAGCTTGATGGCCTCGTCAAGATCATCGCTGACATGCACACTATGATATCTAACGATGAGCGCGCATGCAAGGCCATTAAGTGTGGTGTCCCGTCGTGGATGTCCAGGTGGGCGCAACATTGGCGTGTCGTGATAGAGGTTGATTGCCCTGTTGATATCATTAATACCACTAATACCACTGCATTATTGAGAACAGCGGAAGATGGCACTTCCTAAGCTGCTCGATGCTTTATCACGAGATCCATGCCCAACGGGGTGAAGCAGTGGCCTTTCTTCATACAAAGAGATAGCTTCATTAATGTCACGAGATTTGCCATCGTGGTTGAAGCGGCAGTCGCCGAGCGCCACGGTCGAGTATCTTGTACCACGATCAGGGTGTCCCTCAGGGTACAGAAAAATGGCGTCACGACGGAGTTGTATGCTCTCGTCTATATCATGAATGCTGCCACATTGTACAAAGCGCACTTCTACCGTCTTTGCAAGCTTGGTGGGGGTATCGAAACGGCATTGATGACCCGGTTGGCAGAGTTTGAGCGAAGGTGAATGCTTTTATCGGACATGCCTAATATTGGTATTCACTGATGCTGAGTAGCCCACAGATATTGGTACAGATGTTATGTTTGTGATGAGCAACTTTATCTTCTAGTTAGCACTGGAACGGACACGGACTGCAAGGGAAACCCAGGCCAAACCTCTATGGCAGGAGGTTGCGGCTCTATCTATCGAAGACCGACTACTAAGACACGCCACAGGACTACCGACTACTCCTGCTATTGCGCCAGGACCCCTGGCACTCCCTATGACCTGCGCCAGATCTCCCTACTACAGCACAGACTTCAAGCTTCACTTTCCAAGCCATCACTGTCAACACTTCGCTGAATGGCTCAGCCAACGGTCTATTGGATGACAGAAAAATCGTGAATTTCCTTTCGTCATGTGAAAAAATATTTCTGACATCAGATGTGGGCCAAGGTCCTGGCGCTTAAATCTCCCTTGATCATAACGAGCTGCGCGACGCTGTTTCATTCTCGGATTCCTAAGATGCTATCATGGCAGAAGAGAGCGAGAATTATGAAGCGTCGCGAGGATCGGGTAAACTCGCATCCATCATTCAGCAGTTCACTCAAGGGTAACTTAGGGTTCGTTAACGCTCAAGAATCATAAACTTTGCAGTGACACTTATGCACACGAAAGACGGCTGATTGTATAAGACAGTGAACTCAAGGATGAAAAGCTGTATGACCACATGGTGTTCCGTCGTTCCATCAGATCGTTCTTGGCGTCCGGTCTGGACCTCTACTTTCTGCTCGATAGATAAGAGTAGAGCGATTCATCGTGGTATGTGGCGTTTTCCATGAGCACGGCGCCGATTCGGAGCCTGCCAGGAGAAAGCGCTGAGCGTCTCGTGGCCTTCTAGCGTTTCTCTTTGAGGTCTAAGGCCAAGTGTCAGCCAAGGTCGAACTCACACTTCCACATTCTTCCATTTCTTTCCCCATCCATCGCCATATTTGTTACTATTGCCAAATCATACTTGTTTGATCATCCCGCACGTCGAAACGCCGCCCCCTTGGCTGCAAGCGTCAACCCCGTGTTAGCATTTTTTCTCTTCGCACCAAGGCAACAGTCAATCTAACTTCAGAGTTTACCCGGTAAGGATATTCGCAAGGATGATAGTTATCAAAGTTTGAACAAGTTCGAGGAGATGGTTTCCAAGGCGTACGTACGCCAACCGTTCACAGCGCGGCAAAGACCCGTTATCTGATCTTGGATTAGAATTCCTATATGGTAGTCA